AAGAACTAGGTGATCCCTGAATGCATGGCCAACCCACACAGTGGGCCAAAGTGTCTGACTACAGCCTCTTCCCAAATCTGTGGCTACTAAGTTATGGAGACACAAGGCAACCCTGAGGAAGTCAAGCTAAAAACTGAAGAATAAATATCTAGGTGTGATAGCTCACACCTATAATCCCAGCATTTTGAGAGGCCAAGGTGGGAGGATTGCTTGAGTCCAGGAGTTTGAGACCAGCCTGGGCAACATAGAGAGATCTTGTCTCTAATTAAAAAAAAAAAAGCCAGGCATGGTGGTGTGCATCTATAGTCCCAACAGCTTGGGAGGTTGAGATGGGAGGCTTGTTAAGTTCAGGAGGTTGAGACTGCAGTGAACTATGATTACAACATTGCACTCCAGCCTGGGTGTTGGAGTGAGTCCCTGTGTCCAAAAAAAAAAAAAAAAATCTGAGCTGGGTGTGGTGGCTCACGCCTGTAATCCCAGCACTTTGGGAGGCCGAGGTAGGCAGATCACTTGAGGTCAGGAGTTCGAGACCGGCCATGGCCAACATAGTGAAACCCTGTCTTTACTAAAAATACAAAAATTCCCTGAGTGTGGTGGCATATGCCTGTAATCCCAGCTACTCGGGAGGCTGAGACAGGAGAATTGCTTTAACCTAGGAGATGGAGGTCGCAGTGAGCCAAGATCACACCACTGCACTTCAGCCTGGGCGACAGAGTGAAACTCCATCTCCAAAAAAAAAAAGTCTGAACAGAGTGCACCCACACATTGAAATAAGAGTTCTAGGAGGAAAGAAGAGAAAGGGAAGAAAAAATTATTTGAAGGTTTTGTGGCCAAAACTCCCTAAATATTTCAAAGGACACTAATTTACTAATTTAACTCTGTGAGCCCCAATAGGATAACCACAAAAAGATCCACATCATCAAACTGCTGAGAACCAATTGAAAGGGACAGTTTCCAAAACAGAAAAGCAACTCATCACGCACAGGAGAATGGCAGTATGATTAATGGTTGACTATTCTGGCCAGGCAAAGTGGCTCAGCACAAAGGTGGAGTAAGGGAAAGGGTAATAAAGTTACTGCATTCTACCAGAATTTTCAGTATTGAGCTGAAATACATTGTAATAAGTTAAAGCTACATATTGCAATCCCTAGACAACAACACAGGAAGTAACTCAAACAATAAGTAAAAGGAAAAAAAAAAAAACCTTCAACTTTGGGATTAGAATAATACATACACACACAACTGTAACAGAAAGGAGTTAAAGAAGCCAGGCATGGTGGCTTACGTCTGTAATCCCAGCACTTCGGAAGGCCAAGACGGGTGGGTTACTTGAGGTCAGGAGTTTGAGACCAGCCTGGCCAACATGGTGAAACCCCATCTCTACTAAAAATACAAAAAGCCAGGTGTGGTGGCACACGCCTATAGTTCCAGCTACACAGGAGGCTGAGGCAGGAGAATCGCTTAAACCTGGGAGGTTGCAGTGAGCCAGGATTGTGCCACTGTAATCCAGCCTGGGCAACAGGGTAAGATTTTGTCTTCAAAAAAGAAGAGAAATTCCCTAACATCATATTTAATGGTGAAAAACTGAATGCTTTCCTCTACAATCAGAAACAAGGCAAGTATGTTTCTTCTCACCATATCAACATTGTACTGAAGATTGTAGCCAGTACAATAGACAAGGAAAATAAAAGACATACGGATTGAAAGGAAAAAAAAACTATACACAGATGATATGATTGCAGATGACAGGGTCTCAGGATACAAGGTCAATAGACGAAAATTACATTTGTGTGTTCCAATAATGAACAATCTGAAAACGAAATTAAGAAAGTGCCATTCTCGCCAGGTGCAGTGGCTCATGCCTGTAATCCCAGCTACTTGGGAGGCTGAGGCAGGAAAATCACTTGAACTTGGGAGGCGGAGGTTGCAGTGAGCTGAGATTGTGCCACTGCACTCCAGCCAGGGTGACACAGTGAGAGTCTGTCTCAAAAACAAACAAAACGATATTGAGGCTGGGTCCAGTGGCTCACGCCTGTAATCCCAGCACTTTGGGAGGCTGAGGCAGGCGGATCACCTGAGGTCATGAGTTCGAGACCAGCCTGGCCAACATAGTAAAATGCCATCTCTACTAAAAAAAAAAAAAATTCGAAAATTCAAAATTAGGCCGGGCGCGGTGGCTCACGCCTATAATCCCAGCACTTTGGGAGGCTGAGGCGGGTGGATCACGAGGTCAAGAGATCGAGACCATCCTGGTCAACA